TCTGTGTAATAATGTGACATTTATTAACTTGATAATTAAATTTTATTACACTATTTTTGAATGGAAAAATACCACCCCCCCGGCGCCCCCCCAAAGTCATAACTGTTTCTAACTGTAAACACTACTATTATTAATAAAGCCATTATTATACAACTACACTCGCTCTCTTTTAAAAGTCAAATATAAACTGATACGATGATGTCACCTTCACTGTTTCTACAGAAATGTATTTTACTTCTACAAAGTTTCACCAACAAAATGACCCAAATGTTTTCAAAGGAGCCAGATCAGTTTCAGCTGATCTTCTTCGTTCAAGAAGACACAGTTCCAGGACTGTACGTTTAAATAAAACCCCAAACTAATGATCCCTTGGTACACCCACCGGGCTCAAACACACTAACCTGTGCCGTTGAAGATGTTGCTTGATAACGAGTTGTTCATCCCAAAAGCCTGATTGCGGTTCATCCCAAATCCTGACATGCTGCACAGATTTAAAAAAAAGAAAACCAAAAAGAGAGATAAGCTTTCGGCCTCCAAACGTTAACTTGTGTGAGTTATACAGGATGCGTCTACCTGTTTATGGTGAATGGCTGGCGTGCTGGTTGCTGTTTGGGCATACAGATGATACTGGGCGAGCTGCGGTTGGGGCTGCCCAGCCCCGAGCTGCCCATACTATTGGTCCTGCCGCTCATTCCGATGCCTTGACCGACCTGAGAGTGGTTCAGCATGTTTCTCGAGTTCATCGGCAACGTCCCCCTGTAACAACATCATCATCATCAGGTCATTACCATTTCTTTCCCCAGGTTTTATTCACTGTTATAAACCACATACGGTGTGCGTCCAAACTGAGCCTGCAAGCAAGCGAACACCTCCATACTCACCTGCTTGGTGATGGAGGAGTATGGAGGGACATGGTGGGGACCCCCGTTGTGGGGGTGATATGACTTGGTAGTTGTGTGCCTTGCGTTAGATTCCGGTTTAATTGAGGCGTATTGTTCCCCATGCCCCTCACCGAGAAGCCGAGTGCACCTGCAGGAAGATTTAGAGGAAAAATAAGGAAAAACAGAAATACTATAACTCAGAGGAGATTCTTCCACATTCAAACTCAAATCGGTAACTTTGGTTTTATCGACTAACGTTCTTCATAAAAGACTGATAGTCTCAACTGCACTCAAATGCTACATATGAGAAAACTGCTATGTGAGTGACTGCGGGAACAAAATAAACACTTACTTTGTGGACCGTACAAACTTGCACCAAGCTGCGATAGCTGACCTGACGACGATGGCGAGGGAGAGGACAGCATCTGAAGGACAACATTTGAGGACAGGACAGAGTAAGATCACTAGAAAAAACGTCTCCTCTGGTGTTCACTGAAATAAACGAATGAGCACATACGGGGGAAAGAAACTCACATCTTTGTCCGACCGATGTGGGAACATCGACGGCTGGTTGTAGTACATGCTTTCATCGGTAAAGTCGTTATCGACAACCTCGACGAACTCTACAAATTTCTTTCTAGCACCAAACATGCCTTTCGTCACCTGAAGAGAGAGCAGAGCTGCCGTTAAAAGTAAGAAAGAGAACAACTGAACCAGAACAAATACGTCACAAAACATGTATGTTAGGTCAGGGCCCATTGATCAGAGGCACTGGCTCAGATCTGGAGCTGGCTGCCCACAGCTCCTGGTACTCAGGATGGGTTAAATGCAGACAAATAGGCTCACTATACGTGGTATGATTGTATATGACAAATAAAGCTGATCCTATTCTATACAGTGTCACAGCGATCTTCCCATTTCTAATCTAAATACGCAGATTCCTCTTTGAAAACTTAATGTTGCATATATCTGTTTCAACATTGCAGAGCTATTAAGATAAAACTTTATCATTATTGACAGTATTTACTCCACATCTGCTTCTCCCAGCACTTCACTGTAACACCCAATACAACTCTTCACATTCAGTCAACTGTATAACACACAGGAGTGTAAATAAAGTCAGCACAACATTTACTCCCATTTGTTTGACGTGTCTGGCGGTTTGCCAAAATAAAAGTTGTGAACAGTGTCAACTTTGTAATGATGCACACGCACCAAGGGATGAAGATGTTGAACTTTTCCATGACTAAAACAAACTTATCTATCTCATCCACAACATGCATCAAATAAACCACTGACCGAGAACTAAACGTGCACACACTTTAACATTCTCCCGAATAACTCGTATGCTGTATTAACACGTCTCCAGTGCTGAATAAATCCCCTAATGTGACTCTGCTGAAGGAAAAATTATAAAAAAAAAATAAAAAAAAAAAAAAGCAAGCTATGCTAACATGCTAGTTAGCCAGCTAACACTAGCCGAGGGGTTGTAATGAACCTGTGTTAGCTCAGCTAGCTCAACGTCACTTCGTAAGCGGGCTACCTCGCCGAGGAGCTACTACCACAACCCACAGACACCTTTCAACCCTCCTTCCTCCTCCTCCTCCTCCTCCTCTGGAAACCCCCCCTCCCCGGACTTAGCTACCAGGCAGCGGGCAGTGTGGGGCAGTAATCTGGGGCCCTCTCCGCCTCCATGTATCCACAGTCAGCTGGCCGCTTCCTCGGCTCAGTGTACAGCAGCACTGACAATCTGCTGGGAGCTAAAACAGGCTACAAAACAACTCGCTGTGTGTCCAAAAAGGGAGGCGAACAGCGAGGTACACAGTCCGGGTCGATGGGGCTTAAATGTGTGCCGAGCCGAGCCGAGTTAACGAGGCTGAAACTAAAAAATAAAATATCCTCACCGCATCAATTTCCCCTCTTCTCTGCTTTAGATCCAAGATGGCTGTGTGTACTCTGAATCGAAAGAGGGATAGCCTTTACCCTCTGACCTTACAACCTTCCTGACCACTTCCGTACACAAAACTGTGTGAAACAAAGTGCACTCCTATCTGCCCCCCCACCACCAACCTCACCTCACCGCCCCCCTACCGGACAGTCACCGGGAAAAAAATAAATAAATAAAACTAAAACCTTTTGAGAAATATTCTGTACATTGAGCAGTGAATGTAAATGAGGGCCCTGAAACTGTCTGTGTGCCTCCTGTGATCATAATGTCATTATGGAAACAATGTGCTGTCAGTAATAATAATAATACTGTACAGATTAACTGAATGATTTAATTATAGAGAATCCGACTGATCTAACGATGTGTGAGCTTAAAGAGGTTTTATACAACCAAAGAATAAAATAAAACCCAGACCAGGCTTTAAACGTGTGTGTGCAGCCACGCCAGGCTCCTAAAGGGGGACCTGCTTCTGATTGGGACTCTGATTTTTATTGAAATTTCATGGTAATAAAGCAGAAATGAATTAAAATGAAACTTTATAACCAAACAGGCAACGGCCCCCAGGGGGCCCTAAAGCTCCTGGTTCACTGTGTATCAACTGGTTTGTGCTGAATTAGTTTACAATGGTAGTAATAATAATAATAATAATAATAATAATAATAATAATAATAAGGGCCTTAAGGCGGGCTCCTGCTTTATTCTGATTTCTTGTAGAGCTTTGATTGGGCCCTAAAACTCAAGGCCTGATCCTGAAAAGATTCTGTGTGACCCCGAACTAAGTCCAAGGCCACAAAAGGAGTATTGGGCCTGAGCCTGACCCGAATTTCCACTTAAAATAAATAATTTGAATAGTTTATCACAAGCTAAAGTAAACTACATTGTGCATATAATATAGTATATATGATAATTAAAATAAATAAATAACAAACTCATTAATTACAGTCATTATTAATAAAATATTAAACATATATAAAGACATAAATGTTATTCTGTCTGAGCTCGACCTACGACAGCAGTTTTTGTGCCCAAACCCGGTAAATTGGGGCGAGTTCAGTCGGGTTCGGGCACAGAATCAAAGCTCTAATCTCCTGTATTGAAGAGAGGGGCCTCTTTTAAAATGTAGTTTTGTGACCATCATTATTTCTGCTTACATGTTGTATACTCTGACATTTGTTTGTGTTTAATAAAACTACCACACAGCAGATCATGGGGCCAGATAGTCTCCCAGCACAGGAAAAACAGTACACAGCACACAGAAAGTGGCGGTTTGTCAAGAAATTAGTCTTTCTAGACCTTTTTCACAGCAGGAATTTTTTTTAATTTGGTCTTATCATAGCAGGAAAAGCAGGCATAAGTAACGACATTAATGATGACGCCAGTAAATCGCTCCAGTAATCACAAAATAGGACTATTCCTGCTCTGACATATCAAAATGTCAGCCATGAACACGGTCTACTGTGAGAGTCACATGGTTCTTTCTGTGTGGTGCTCCCATTGGGTTGTGGTGTTGCCTGTTTGAGGCCTCCAGGCAGTATGTGGATAAGGAGAAGGACAAGTGCTAAAAGCAGTCTGTCAGTGAGTGAAAACAGACAAGGGGCAAACCTTCTGATAAGGAAAATGAAATTCCTTCTCGGTTTTTATCTCAGTTGGAAAACAGCCCTTAATGAAGGTATGCAAGATAGCGTGGGGCAAATCACACTTCAGGCAGGTAGAGATGACGTGCCACTTCTTCATGCCACAGTTCAGACTCCCCCCAGTCTCGACTCCTGACAAAACACAGAGCGACAGAGCCGAGACCCTCCACCACACTTCAGTACCACCTCGGACTTCATTGAACTCCATTTCTCTTCCTTGCAGAAACAAAACAACCAGTGATTTCCCACAATCTAAGAGAACAACCTATATACTCCCTTGTTGGTCTCCCTGCAAACACTTTTATTTCACAGTCGAGGCCGAGCTCTTCTGGCCCGGTGGCACAGACCCAGAACTGCGTTCGGGCCGATTAAAACAGAATGTAAATGACCTTCTCTGCTTTTTCATCACAAAGCACTTCTTATGCTTATCCGTGGCACCCTGCCCCTTCCTGTCTCTCTCTCTCCCACCTCTGTCATCTCAGAGAAGAAGGGGGGAAAGTCATTAGGCACAAATGGGGAGGAGAGAGCAGCTAGTGGTTGCTATCGCCATGAAAGTCAGGGCAAAGCTCAGCCACTGAGAGATAGTGAGAGGACTGCACTGGGGAATATCTGCCCAGAGAATACAATACGTTTTCAGCTCATTAAGTTGGATAAACAAATGGCTTACTGTAGGAGATGCTGAGAGTCATGGACATCAGCAGGAAAACATTGGAAAGTAGGTGTTTTTCAATTGTCATTATGATCATCTTTAAACCTATTGTGTTTTCTGTTTTCTTGTTGACCATTGGAGATACTCATTCGGCATGGCTTTCACCATATGAAAGGGTGTAATTCAGCATCATAATCATGTAATTACTGCTATGTGCAGCTTCATATGGTGATGCAATACATTGTTACAAACTTGTATTGTTTTTTCTTATTATCAAGATCAATAACTCCAGAGGGGCGGTGGAGGAGCATTAATGGGATGCCATTAAATCTACTTGAGGACGCCAACAGCCTACCTCAGTGCAACCCTTGTCTGGCACTAAATTGATGTTTAGGACCAGTGAGACAGCGAGCAAGATGGGTAACGCCATGCGAGGCGTCATTGCCTTCATTCCCTCAGAGCGCTGCCAGCGCTTCTTGGTGGGGGACCTGAAGGAGATGCCACTTGATCGGACCCTGGACCTGAGCACCCGGCAGTTGCGTCGGCTGCCAGTTACTGCCTGTGTCTTCGATGAACTGGTGAAGCTCTACCTGAGTGACAACAACCTCAGCAGCTTACCGACTGAACTGCAAGGCCTGAAGAAACTGCAGCTCCTGGCCCTTGACTTTAACTGCTTTGAAGAGCTCCCTGCAGCTGTTTGCAGATTGCCCCAGCTCAGCATCCTTTACCTGGGTAACAACAGGCTTTACCGTCTCCCCAGGGAACTGGGAGAGCTCAAGGAACTTAATACTCTGTGGCTGGAGACTAATTGCTTCACGGTTTTCCCCGAGGTGGTTTGCCAGCTCTCTAATCTCAAGACCCTGCACCTCGGTTATAACCAAATACAGAGTTTACCAAGAGAGCTTAGTGGGTTGGAAGAGCTAAGAAGTATCTGGCTTGCAGGGAACCAGCTGGCAGAGTTCCCACCAGTGTTGCTGGAAATGCAACTTCTAGCCGTCATTGATGTGGATCGAAACAGAATACGCCGCTTCCCATGCCTGTCTCACATGCAGGGGCTGAAACTTGTCATCTATGACCACAACCCCTGCTTTAATGCCCCGGTAGTAGGCGAGGGAGTCAGAAGGGTCGGACGCTGGGCGGACAGCTCGGATGATGAACAGGAAGATGGCGGGTCAAAAGCTGTGAGTGAGACTACAGCAGAGGTCACGGAAGCACACGCTGAGGAGGAACACAACATGTAGGGTCAAGGAACAAAGTGACCTTCAGCTGTAGCGAGGCCTGGCAGTACAGGGTGACATTCAAGTGAAACACTTAGAGTGGAGTGTTGTACATCTGGCTGACGGCTGGTCCATATATGGTAAAGACGGTCGAATGAGCTTTAATATAAGACAGAAGGTAGTCCAAAAACATGGCCTGTGTGAAAAGAGGAAATTAGAATCCTGAAATAGAAAATGTTTTTTTTTTTATGTTTGATTACACTGAGTGAAATGTTGAATTTGTAAAACTTTGTATATGCTATTAATTTTTTTCTGCTTTGTTTCTGCTGTTATTTTACATATATTGGGAATTTTTAAGGTAGTATCTGTGGGATTTAAGCAGTACTGGCAAGCATGTATTCCTACTTAATAAACATTAGTGGTGTATTTTGCAGACATTCATATGTTTCTATTCAATGTAATATGCAGTTAGTTGTTGGTGAGGCTATACCGTAGTATAATAACCGTAATGTCAGAGGATGCATAACAAGCATGATGGCAGCATGAACTCAACAGGTTATGTGTGAGTTCTTACTTTACAGTGCAGGGACCGAGAATAAGAAAAGGATATAGCTCATTACATAAATTCTTGTTCCAGCAGAGTCTGGGATAATAGCTGTACCTGCTGAGGCTAAATACAGTGAGGTTTTTTAATAACAGTGATGGATGGTTTTAGTCAATTAGTGCACTCCTTATCCAGACCAATGCATAATTCATCTGATAGATTGGGGCTGTGGCTTTGAATAAAGACTGCTAATGGGCCGTAATATCATCGCCATAAGGTTCTGAACTGAAACAGATCATGAGTGCAGCTTTCCAATTCCTCCGTGTACCAGGAAAATGTGCTGTAAACAAGATTAAATGTCATTCCACGATGTATCATTTTTCACATTTTGAATCGTTTCTAAAAAAAATGTAGGAAAATTGATTAAAACTGACCCTTTTACTGGAAATGTGATTATTTTAAAAGGCATGAACACACTGAGCTACTTTATGTCCAGCCTTAATTCAGCTTCCTGCTGAAAACAACTACTTTATTGTGTGTGTTCTAAGTAATTCTAGAGGTTCAGTGATCATAAAGAAGTCTTTATGTGTCATCATTAAAGTGCTGTATAGTGCATGTCAAAGACAAACTTCTTGAGTCTGTTAAACTGCCCTCTGCCTCACCCAACTGAAAAAGGTTCCTCACAGCAATAATGAGCTGGGAGGGAAATGTGTGGTTATTTTAAGTACCATAACAAAACCGGGCTCTGAAGTTATCACATTTTTCTTTATGATGTAGTTTGGTCTGTCTGGAAAGAGAGCACTAACACAACACTACGCTGTGGACATACAGAGGCTCCCGATCATCTCAAAATACAAATAGATTTCATGTAGAATTCAAGCTTTCCATGCAATTGTTGTTGATGTCAAGACTTTTTATTGCAGATCATTCCAAACATCAGTTCCTTTCTTAACCTTTATTGTTTGTGAACCATGTAACTGTGCATTTTATTGACTCATTACATGGAAATATGAGCGTGTATTTTTCTTGTCACTCTACATACTCTACATCATTTTTCTATTCAAATATCACTGGTGTTACAGAAAGCTGCATCAAATGACCCGGTTCTTATCAACATCAGCTTTGATTGAGTCTCATGAATCTTTGGACAAATGAAGATTTGTCCAAATAATTCTTGATTCAAACCCAGTTATATTCTTCTATCTATATTATCAGAATAATATTAAAAGGCACATCATGTTCTAGTATGTAAAAACAGTAATTATTGTGTAAGTGTAAATGTGGTGGTCAGAAAAACAAGTACTTAATATCTTGTTTCCAAAAATGATCATTTTGAGGTAATAGAGTTTGATTAGTCACTATAAAAGTACTATTTCATACAACACAGACAGGGGTAATAATAGACATTACATCAAATTGGATAACTGTTTGTTTTATGCTTTCTGATTTCACTACATTTTATCAAGATAAAATATCATGAGAGAGTCGAAAACCTGTAATTAGTGTATTTTTCTGACTGGTTAAAATGTTATACATCTAACATTCAAGATAGCTTTTGAAAAGCTGTTTTGTTTTGTTCAAAAATCAGATTTTTCCAAAATGGTAAATGGAAAATAAATTTACTTAATTTGACCAAACGTTTGAACATAAAAATGGTTTGGTTCTCAAAAATGACTTAAACTCAGTCGTTGTAAGACTGATTTTTCTACAGACAGAGATTCTGTTAATAGTTAGACCTGCTTTATTATTTGACAAGGATGTCACCCAAACTCATAGGAAAGACAATAAAGAAACAGGAGTGTGCCGCTGTATGTTTATTTAATTTGTTCAAAGCATAAATAACACTCAAGAAACATCTGCATGATAGAATCCAATATGACAGCTTTAAGTACAGGACATTATGAGTTTAACAATTTCTTTGGTAGAAAATTCTACATCAGCACAACTTGTACACAGTCTTACATAAACTTGCTTAAACCCTAAACTCCCCCTGAAGTGCAGCTTAAATATATGGAGCCATATACCAAAAGATCCTGCATCCCCCTCACTTTATTAGCTATAACAACCAGCATCAGTGTCCAAACTGTAACTTCACTTATCCTTCTTAAACTGTATGTTGCCTGATGTTAAATACAAATATGTTTAATTAAACAGACAAACTTATATTACTTAAAAGACAAATCTAAAATATCTTGGTGCTTTGTTGTAATGAAAGCACAATAAATAAAATTTTCACAACATTAAAGTGCAGAGTGTAAACTGCACTGTAACAGATACTGGATACAAAGAAGATCTGATAGAATGAATGAATTCCACCTTTGTAGAAACATTTAACCAAATGTGCCACGGCAGTCTAATTACCCATTACACGCTGACAGAACTTCTCTGTAAATTCCCGATGTGCCGCAGGCTGGACCCATTACACTTTTTTGCTAGGAATTTAATAAAACAAAGACAGTTTTTTAAACAGATTTTCCAAATCGAATTGCTCTGAGAACGCCTCTGAGATAGAAGTATCACAAGGCTTGTTTGAGCGTATCCTCTAAAAGGGTGTTAAACACTGACATTTCAACTTCCAAAGCTACCTTTAGTTTCACATACGGGGCAGCAACATTCAAAAACAGAATCAACTCTACTGATCTAGAGTCACCACTTTAAACGACATCTGAGAAGTAAAACATGAACAGGTTCAACTGACTTTTAAAAAGTGTGTTCGGTTGTTGATGTTAAGGCTAAATTCCCATCGGGCAACACAGGTGGACACACCAGAGCTGGAATGTAGTATCTCCTGCTACAGACATCATTAAAACTCAATTGGCACAAACATAAGACTGTATAAGTGCTGTTGTCTTTTTGGGCATGCATCCCACTGAGCAGACAAAAAGCAGGAAGAGCAGAGGTCAAAAATTACAATGAGGTAAAGTGTAGGAAGTACAACACAGGTATTTATGTGTGTATTGCAGGCCAACTCAAACTGTGGGTTTAATGGAGTCAAACAACATCTGCCAAATCACATTCAATATCTGCTGACGAGTGATGGGACATTGTGCGGCATATACTATGAGAACTACAACTGTGTGCGCTGGCATGGTTCACAGGCTCATCCACGGTCCGGGTCTCTGCCGGA